TTCTCAAAAATACCAATATGACAGCAATTACCAGCCACCACCAGAGAAAATTGCTGAAGCACACAAGGCTGCAAGGTTTGCTGTTGGAGCCTTGGCATTTGATGATGTGACAGTTGCAGTAGAGCACTTAAAGAAATCACTTGAATTGCTGACGAATCCATCAGCCAGTCATTAAGTTTGTTATCCTTAAGTGAACAGATCCAAGTGGTTTTTCTTTGAATCATATGGCTTGATTTGTAAAGGTTTATATTCAGAGTTTGGAGAAACTGATACTTGCCATGTAATTCTCAGCATCTCCGTCCATTTTCATTTGGGAATCAAATCATGTTGCATGTGGTTTTCTATTGTAGATTCTGCTGGTTTTCTTCCCTCCCACTTTCTTTCCTGCAAGAAAGCAATAAGTTAAATCCAAACACCGCATATAATCTGAAAACAGAGGAAGAACCTAAAAAAATCTGATTGATAGATACCAATCCTCAATCATGGATCAGTAATAAACAACCTTTCAAGCAACAGATATTAAAAGGTTTACAGTCTTGCCTCCTTATCTGAATCCCCCCATCCATAGACTAACTGAAAAGTTGGCTGTTTGGAATAATCCCTAAGACTGTTTCCTAGTTCTTTAGAAGAAAATGGTGCCATGACATGAGTCAACACCGGAATCTCTTGGTTCTGACAAAGCATTCCTTCTCTCTAGTTTCCCAGACTCTAAGCTCCTATTGATCGGCCCAAAATAGAGTTGTCATGTGTTAGGGTCCTAGAGAAAAATCGTGAATCTCAAAATCGATTATGTATTAAAATATAATTAAATATTTAAGTTTTTTACATTTTTTTTAATTTATAAAATAACTTTTGTGAGATAAAACTGTGAGATTTATTGAGTCAAAAGAGATAATATTTTACAGCTATAAATGATAATTTCACTTTGTTTTTGGGTTTCATTCAGCTAAACTAATTAAGAGCAAAGAAGTCTGTTTCTTTTTCGGAGATGAAGTCGGGAAAGAAACCTCCCAAAGTCCTGTGCTGTCTTAAATCTTAGCAATTTAAGGATAAATGCAATGACACAAGATCTGCTCCCAACACATGGAGCTAAACATGAATATTACTCTTTATGATTCAATCCTCATTAAAGGACAATGAATTGGAAAATTTCTTGTCCTTTGCAAAAAAGGGTTTGTCTCATCTGATTTGTTGACAGCGTTGTGAGCTAAGGTTGGCTCTTGCCTTCTTCACCAGATTAACAGAGAAAGTTTTGTCTGCATAAGGTGGATAAGCCAAGAGAGAATGTCCTCACCTATCTGTTTGCTGATAGCATTTAGGATGAGCTTAATCAATATTAAAAATGACAGTTATGCCTATGGAAATTATGGGATCAAATGATGATGGCAAGGGGTTTTTAGTCATTAAGGATATGAGATTCAGATTCTGCCATTCCTAAAACAAAGTAAAATATTGATGATAACTAAGCTTCTTCCAGGTGAAATTCTTATCCCTTTGAGAATCCGTCAAGGTATCCTATATAGTCTTATGGTACTGAGAAAAGATTATAGCTAAACAAGGTGTTAAATTTATGATTGATTGGTACCATCCTTGAAAGAAGAAGAATGGGATCTAGCCTCTCTTGTTTTCGGCAATCAAGCCCCCAGAGATTAGCTGAACAAGACATGGAACATGATCGAAGTGCTTGTTCAAGCATGTCTTTCGTGATGCTGGGATGCTTGTGGACAAAGGAAGCAAAGGAGAGGCAGTTGCAGCTGAAAGAGAAGCAGCACCAGCAGCCAAAGCAGGCAAAAGAGCTCACCCTGGAGGATTGGCTCATAGCTTCACCAGGCTTGCAGAAGCACAGTGGGACAGGTGGGGGTGAATACCATGTCCTCAAACATTCCTCCAAGAGGGTTTTCCCATCTTTCGTTGGAGAAAATGCACATACCTCCTCTAAACCAAGGGAGAACTTCTCTAAGGAGAGGCTGCTGAAATTTGAAGATGATGAAAGGGAAGACATGGAGGTTTCCTTGAGCAGGAGCCAAAGTGGGAAGTCAAAGAAAAGGGTGAGCTTTAGGCAACCAGAAGAAGCTGATATTTTTATATTCCATTCATCATCATCAGAAGAAGAATCAGGAGAGAGGGAGAATTGATCTTTTGTTTCTTGTTCTCTGTTGGGTATGTTTTGGTTCGTCATTTTGCTTTTGGTACGTGCAGCTTGGGAGAAAAATAATAGACTAACTACCTGCTAAAGCTTTACTCAAACATCATCAATAGCCATGTAAGATAACATGTCAATGTCTCTTGCATGTACATAGTCTCTTTATGGTTTTGAATAAGCTTCTTTAATTAGCAGAAGGTACATTTATTTCAATATCTAGGCTATACTTTATTAGGAGCACAAGGAACAAGGATCAAGGAAAGGTTTGAGAGTTATATTTTTCTGATTTTGCAATTGTTAGCCAAAGAATTAAAAGGAGGAAACAAGCAGTATGCAAAGAGCCAAAGTGGTCCAAAGAGTTGAATTTAGAACAAGAATGAAGGATTGAAAACTTTGCAAGATTACAACTGAAATAACTACCAATGGAACCCTACCCAAAATTCAAAATAAGAAAAAGAAAAGGGTAAGCATCATAATTAATGCAAATTTTGATGGGGAATGCAAATTGTTCACAAGTTTTTAGGTGCCAAAAAGCAAAACCCTTTTCATACAAGTTCACATACACAAAAGTAAACACCATGAAGAAGCTATAAAGAGAGCGAAAAATTAATGGAGAGGGTTTTGCATAGATTTATTTACTTAGTTTGGATTCAAGGGAACACCAAGTCTCAATACTCATCAAGTATATATAAAGGTAACTACAATCACTAATCACACAGGAGAAAAAAAACACACAAAAGAAAGTGAAAAAAGAAAAAAAAAGAAAGCTAAGGCAAAGCCTTTTCCCTCTCTCTCTCTCTCTCCTCTTTGTGTGTTGATTGATCCTATATCTTTTCAATGCAATGGGAAATAACACACAAAAGGGGAAAAGGTGTAAGGACAAAACCAAAGAGGGGAGGGGGAAAAAGCCTTTTTCTTTGAAGACTCTTTTCTTCTTTTGTTTCTTTTTTCCTAAGCAAGAGACAGAGATGCAACTATATGAAAGAATTGCAACTGCTCTAGTAGCTCTTTAGCATGGCTTGTGGCTCGGCGCTCCACACGTAAAAACAGCTCCTCGCTGAGCTTGTCACCGATGTGAGCATCGACGAGCACCCCCGAGACGCTCCGGCAGCTGTTGGCTAGGGCTCGGCCTACCTCCGTCGCATCATCCGGCCGGCTAACGACCAGAGGGCTGCCTCCTTTGAATACCTCAAGCTTGTTTATGGTGAATGAGCCATCAGCTTCAACCACTTCCTTGAAGTCTTGTAGGCTTGGGGCATACACTGGAATGTTGAAATTGTCACGCTTCTCACTACTAATAAGGCCCTGCCATAATGCATGTACCATTAGAATTATGTAACCGTATTTTTGAATAACATTTAGAACCTAACTTAAAAAGCACAAACCCTAATTTGTATATATGCTTTTTCCATAAGTAAACAATTAAAACGAAATTAAACCCGTTATTTTTATGTTTAAAATGATTAAAAATATGTATTTCAAATATAATAATATATAATTTTTATATTTGCATATGTATATATATAAATGAAAATGCAATTTCAATGAGCTTGCAAAGAAACAATGAAAAGCTTATAATGATCATAATCTTTGTGGCAGGCTGATTAGAACAGTTGATTAAGGCAAGAGGATCATATGTAAATGTATTACCACTACATCAATTTGCTGCCACAAATGCTATGGTCCCACTCATCTTATGATTTATTTGATCAACAATGATCAAATGGACCCAAATGACTGTTATTGTCATCTTGTTAGATGAAATGATTATGTTCACAATGGGCCCCCACAAACCCCTGCCAGCGGGGTTATCATATTGCCGACATGGCAATGGGACAAGTGGAGGGTGATAGAGCTGATTCTCCCCCAAGACCAATCCAACGGCTGGAATTGGAGTGAGTTAATCATGACCAGTGACAATCCATCATGAGGCTCTCTTACTAAAGCCCAAACACACCTAATGATTCCCCCTTTTGCATGGTGTTCCCTCCTCACCTCCCTTCCCCCTCTGCTTTTTGGTCTGCCAAAATGCAAGGAAACAGTAGCATAGAGGGAGAAATTATTATTGCCAAGGCAAATTTTCCCCCATTCAAATATCAACTGGGAGTTATCCACTCCGATCCAAGGAAAATGAACACTGTTGACACGTAAGCCACATGCAAATATGAAGAGCTTTAGGTAAACATAGGTGATTAATACCTCTTGGACAAGATCATCCCAAGCATCCTGAAAGTGGGTCCCGAAGAGGAGGCCGGCTCCACCTTGGTCCGAGGGGTCCACCGAGGTTCTTCCAAGGCAGACAAGGAACATAGACCCACCCCTCTTCATCTCTATGGATCTTGCTCTGAGGAAAGCAGCCAGGTCTGTCTGGAACTGCTTCCTGTATGCACTGGCTGTGCTCTCACCTGCACCATGGATGAACACCCGCCCTTTGTTGTAAGCCGTTGATCTCCTGTCCAACACAGTTTCTGGCATCTGGGTCCCCCATGGCAGACAGAATGTCTGGTGTTAATGTTGGATACACACAACAAAGAAAGAAAGAGGCCAAGAGAGAGAGAGACAGGATACCCTAAATACTTTGTACTTCCCTTTTTATTAGAACATCAAGCATATGTTTCATAAGTTTCTCTGTGTCTTTTTCCCTTAATTTTGGAAAATATAAAGCAAGATTGTTTTTGGGTAATTAATTCTTGGATTAAAAAAGGGATTAAATTTAATAATATTCATAATATATGATTGCATTTAACTTACATTTATCCATGATTACATCATTAAATATTATATTTAATGCCATGTACTGTTATTTTTGCACCCACTTTTTGACCAAATCAAAGTCGGCAAAAACTTGGAATTGGTGAAAGAAAACATTTAAATTAAATCATATAAACTTTTGTATTTTTTTTCCAGTGAAGTGACGTGAGCTTGAAAATATTATGTATTTATCTTATTAATTTCACCTTAGAAATCAACCTCGGGAACAAACTATATATATATAAATATATATTAACTATATTTATATATGATATAGCTTAGTATATTTGGTATGTAAAGTAGTGTATTATACTGCACCATGACAAAAAACTTGTACAGTTAAAAATGAACCTGTGATAGCCAGTGCAATGAGAATGCAGAGTGGAAGACGTCGATGGATCTAGCCGGAAAGAGGCGCCGGTAAAATGATCCGGGGACTCCGGCGGCGAAATAGGACCGGTGTCCGTTGGACGCTAGGCACTCCTCCATGCTGCTGCCACCGTTGTAGTTAGCCAAGGGAGGTAGGAGCTGGAAAAGAGTATTGAAGTCATTGCTGGGGAGATCAGAGAAGAAGGCAGAGAACTCCGGCGGCTGATCCCACCGGTCCGACGACTCGTACCGCTTGATCATGTGTTTGATGATCACGTCGACGATGTAGATGCTATTGTTGCTGCAGGAGCAGCCTAGGTCGACGACGACGAAGGGTACTTCCGGGGAGTTGAGGTGAACGCTGTCGAGGGATTCTTCCAGGAGGTGAAGCATGGAACGAGCATGTAAGGCCTGCATAGGAGCAAGACCAAAACCCCATAGCTAGGGTTTAACAAGGTGAAATATGAAGCAAAAAAACCCCCAAAAAAACCCAAAAAAAGGAAAAACCTGAGCTTGGGAATTGTTGGCATAGCTTCCTTCTCCTTTCCCTCCTTTCATGCTAAGCAGCTTCTCCAAGTTAACGTTAGAAACGACAACGTTGTCTCCCAAGGGAGCCATTGTTCTTTGCTCTATCAAGCTCTGTAGTTTTTCTGGGTGTTGTTCAAAGTTTGGGAGTAAAGCTTGAGTATATATAGAGGAAAAAAAGAAAGGGAAGGGGATTGCTCTTGCTTTGTGTGCTTGTACTCTGGTCAGGGTACAAAAGGGGGGAAGAAAGGTAATTATTATTTAGATAAAACAACAAGGATAAGCTTGTATGTACATAAATCTAAATTATGGGACTTCACATGCAGCAAACAGCAAAGATAAATATTTAGTTCCCTCCCCCCGGCAGGCCCAAGATTGGCTCCGGATTTTCTTGCTTCCGGTCTCCAAGAGAGTCGGATTCCGGCTACCGGTATCGGAAAGTTCAAACCAAAGGATGGTTAAAAGAAGAGATTAAAAGCTATGGGGGAAGGGGAGGTTGTAACTTTACTTTGAAGTAATTAAGATTATGGTTGAAGTTATGTATAAAGGGAAAAGGAAGAGTATTCAATAGGGAATCATGGATATTTAGGTAAACTTGTTATTATCTTTAATAAATAATAATGACATTATTTTTTTAACTAGACACAAAATGAATTAAATTGTACTGTTTTGAGTAGAGAAATATATGCATTTATCGTAAAAATCAATTAAAAAAACTGTTACTTAATTTTTATCGAAAAGATAACCATTTAAACAAAGAAATACATGCATATATATAACTTTCTTTCCACCTTCTTCTTTAGGCCAAAATTTTAATTTCCTTTTCATCTTTGTTGTACTCAAGTTGTCATGGATATGGATAGGGGTTAAAAACCCACTATGTTAGTGAAAAATGATGATAATAATAATAAGTATAAGAACAATAATTAACCTATTTCCACTATGAATTGTATTGTCATTTGAAACATGGTTTTGATTACATCTCTTTCCCTTTTAAGGAAAAAAGAGCCTTTAAATACATGCAAAAAGTCAGAATTATGGGTAGACAACGAACCTAGATAACCCAACCAACCAAAAGACTTTATAATTAAGTATATTTAACCAGAGGAAACAATGCATGCTTTGTAAATTCCTTAGTCTCTTTTGCCTTTATAAGCAGCAATTATTATTTTCTCTAAACCATATTAATTATATAAATTAACTTGTCCGGCCGGGTCGTAATCTTATTTTATATATATAATAAATAAGTATGGAGAAATTATTGACTAATAATCTCAATTAATTGGTATAATCACAATATGTAAAAGGGACACTAGGATAGTGATAAATATAACACAACAATTATGTTTTCTTAATCCTTTGTATGTATCTTCAGGTGAATGATTAGGTAGTTTGGTGGTCTGTTAGAACAGTTTGAACTCAGATTAGTTAATTAATTAATTAGTGTGCAAAGTCCAACTTTTCTTTTTTGTTGTCATTGTTTAATTAAAGTTAATTAATTAATGAGAGGGGGGACTTTATGAGGTAATGGGGATCCAAGAGATCCATCATAAAAGCCAAATGATAATGAATTATTCTTCTAATTTATTAGACCATCACCCCAGAAATCAAGGTTCATTTTGTACCTAACCCTTTTTAACTACTAATTAGGCTACTAGTCTTTGTTGGATTAGGGCTAGTACTTAAATGTTAAAAAAAAAAAAAAAACCTTTTTTCACGCAACCGTTAATTCTCTCATTGAAATCACATTCTCATTATTTCTATCGGATTTATTTTTTATCAATTTCAATTATATATATATACAAATTATATATATGCAAAAATGTAATATATGCTTTTGTGCATATCATTATTTTTGTACATGAAATAACGCATGCATTATAGAAATGATATTAAGATTGAACGTGTGGTCGATATTAAATAAAGAGACTTTAAGTAAAGATATTGATGATATGTTAAATGGATAAAATGCATGTATGATAAGACATATACACACTGACTAATAATAACATTGACATTGAAATGTGAGGGATCCATTTCATCATAGTGCACACAAGCATGCAATTGCAAAGGTGTGTGTGTGTGTGTGGCTTGATAGTTCTTATTGCAAAAGAGATTGCAAAGTGGCAAGCTCTCTCTGATCTTCAATGGAGGACTAGTACTAAAGCAAGACTTAAAAAGAGATAATCACATAGTTAGTATAACATCTCATACTTGGTTAAAACTTTTGGTCAAGTCTATCAACTACATGGGAACCCTCTTTCTGTGGTTTAACAAATCTAACAAAAGTCAAGGAATCTTGATGATCTATGTTTTTTCTCCCTAATGACCCCTCACCCTCGATCCCCATTCTTTTCCCTTTTTACCAAGTCTCTTCTCTTAAAGTCTACACCACCGTGATAATCGGGGCAGTTCACGTGAAACAAGGTCGGACCATTATTTTCCACTGCTTCATCTCTTCTTCTTCTGCTTCTACCTTTATCTTAACTTCCAACTGACCTACATTACTTAGGGTCTTTGCTTGTTTTACACTTCTATATAATCAAAACAAGGTCATGCAAAGTTAATACTGTTGAGAACATGCATTTTCTCTTATTATAATGGTTTTGGCCCCCTACCCCCTATAGCTTTGAATTCATGCTTCCCCCATTCCAAAAGATGAACACCTAAATTTTCTTTTTATATTATATATAAAAGGATTGATGGAGTTGATTGATTATGTGCATTAACTTTTAACTCTGTTGGTTTGTGGAAAAAGAAGGGTTTTTGAGTGGTGAAGAGGGAAGTGGTGGAATGGTCAAAAAAGAGGGTAGTTATGTTTTTTTGCCTTGTGTTGTGTTCATGACTCATAAGAAGAAAAAGAAGCTAAAAAGATAAAGGCTTAGGACCTGTAAAATGGTCCCCCCGCACCGCCCTGAACTAGCTGGTCAAATGAGCTTGGGAATTTTAGTTTATGTGAAAGATGTTGTTCATACTTTTTGGGGGGTAACCTTAAGTCAAACTAGTGCTTTGGTTAGATTTACCTGTTGATTGTG